ACCCTCTCGCCCCACCCCATCCTCAGTGGAGCCCCCTGTTGGGGCACAAGTTCTCCCACAGGGAGGGGAAGGCAGAGTTCACTTTCTACTTGGCCAGCAGCGTGCCAAGCACAAGTGTGCACACATGTGAGTGTGTCGCCTTCTCCAACTCACTCTGCTCCCTCAACCTTTGCTGAGGTGTTGGTGAGGTCTCTTGCTTAGCCTTGGCAAACTGTGGTCTGCAGGCACCCATTTTGTTTTTCACTTCTCATGGTGGTGGTAAAATAAACAAGACAAAACACAACATTTCCCTATTTGAAAGGGCAGAGTCCTTTGGGGATATCCACCAAGTGTGCAACCAGTGCTACTACCCAGGCCTGAGCGTTCTGGTCATCCCAGATGGAAACCGAGACCCCACTGCGCCTCAGCACCTCCACAGCCAGCCTGTTCCAGAGGCCACCTATGTTTGCAGGTGGAGCCTTAGCGGCACACAGCCACCCATGCCTGTTCTTTCTCACATGACCCAGGCCCTCTTCCCTCTGCAGCACCTGGGGGACCAGTCAAGACATCAGCCCTGGAATGTCTACTGTCCAGCCCTTTTCAGAAAAGGTCTGCTGTCCCCTGCTCAGATCACCCACTGATCACTGGTCACTGCTTCATCCATTCTGTCTTTGGAGTGGGCTCGAGCCTCTCAGCACTGCCAAAAATACTAGAACGACTTTTTTAAATGTTTTAATTTTTTGATAGGGTGTTGCAAAAGCTGGCCTTGAACTTGTAATCCTCCTGCCTCAGCCTCCCCAGACACTGGGGTTACAGACAGGCATCACCATGACCAGCTCTGATTTTTCTGGGGAGGGTTTTTGTGGGGTTTTGTTTTTGTTTGTATTAGGGATTGAACCCAGGGACGCTTAACCACTGAGCCAATCAACAGCCCTTTTTACTTTTTGAGAGAGGGTGTCGATAAGTTGATGAGGCTGCTTTTGGGATCCTCCTGCCTCAACCTCCCTGAGTTACCAGGGTTATAGGCGTGACCACCACGCCTAGCTGGCAGGGGATTCAAGGTTACCCACAGAAGTGGAAATCACACGGGACTGTCTGTGGCCTGGGCTCATTTTACTGGCTGCCCTCAGGTCTCAGCCTTGCTGTAGCCGTGTCAAGAGTTCCTGTGGTATGAATGGGTCACATTTCATCTATCCACCGCCAGGTCGCTCAGGGCTGTGCTGTGAACGCGGTGTGTGCACCGTTTTTCTGACTTGCACCAGGGTGAAGAACACCCTGCCTGCCTCAGCACTCCACTCCCTGGACCAGGGGCCTGAGGTAAGCTGGCCTAGGCCCCTGCTGTCAGAACCCCCACTGCACAGCAGCCCCAGAGAGGGGAACAGGGAAGGGAACGGCTGCCTAGGACAGAAGGAGCTGTCAGGAGGACCAGTCCCCAAGGGATTCTCCATCTCCTGGATGCTGAGGGACAACAGGAAGGACAAGAGCCTCTTTGCAGCTGGGGTGCAGGCTGCAATCCAGGCCTTGCAACTGTCAGCAGAGGCCCTGACACTTGGGGGCTGTGGTCTTGGGGTAGCATCCCAGCCCAGCCCTGAAGCTGAGGTCCTTCCACTAGTGCCACTGTCCTTTGTTCCTGGCTAATCCTACAAGCCAACATTTCCCAACCATATATCGTTCCTCAGCCTCTCCTTTGCCCCACAGCAATGGAGTGTGGGCCCCTCTGAGAAACTGGGGTCAACTACAATTTCTGCCATTTCTTCAGATAACACAGAATGTTGGACGTTCATGCCCCACCCCACCCCCAGGTCTGGGGACTCCAGGTGAAGACCTACAAGGGGTGTGCAGTGACTGTCCTTGTTGGAGACGCCAGCTGCGTATCAGGGGCCAAGAGTTCAATCTGCAGCAGTCTCAAAGTGGCTCAGAAATGGGATGAAGAGAGGGAGGAAAGGAAAAAAAGAAATATGTTTATGTCTCTATGTATGGGAAGAAGGAAGTGAGAAGGAGGATGGGAAGGGGAGTGTGAGCATGCACACCATCAGAGGATCCTCAACACTGGTCCCCACCTGGGAATGCCCAAGAGGGGCATCCACTCAGAAAGCAGGCCAGTGGGTGCCTAGGGCTTGGGGTGGAGCTGGAGGTGGGCTAAGGCCTGTGGGGTTCCTCTCATGGTACTGACTGCACAACTCTGAATGTACTAAAAACCACTGAATTGTGCATTTCAAATGGGTAGATTACAGGATATGTGAATTATTTCTTTAAAAACTGCTTTTAAAACAGTGACTATCAGCAGAGGTTACACAGGCATTCATCACACTATTGGTACAACTTCTGTGAGAATTAAGTTTTTCTAAAATAAAGTAAGGAGACAGGAGGGGAGAGCCCAGTTCTGCAGCTGACGGTATGGCCTCCCCCACTGAGCCCCAAGGGCAGCTCCCAACCTCCCATGGCCTCCATCCCACCTGCTCAATATGCCAGCGCCCAGCCCATAGGCCTCTCCACCCAGGCAGAGACGTGCAAGGCAGACGAGCCAGGAATCTGGGCACCACCTCCAGCTTCTGCTCCTCGCCAGCCTCCCTTACCTCCCAAATGGTCCTCCAGACCCACAGATAGCACTGTGCCCGCACTGGGCCCTGACAAGGTGACAGGTACACTGTCCCAGCTTTATGAACTAAAGAAGCCGAGCTTCAGGAACACTGGAGTCAAACAGCTGGCCACACGTGGCACTGGGAACCAAGCCCAGTCAGGCTGCAGAAGCCACACTTGCAACCAGGGCTCCTCCAGGGGCATCCCACAGGTGTCCCCTGCTCCCAAGGACCAAAATGGGCTGCTCAGCATCCCCCACCCAACATGCTCCTGGAAATCCTTTGCTTCTATCCCTAAACTGGGGAGCTGTGGCCACTCAGTTTACACCAGCCAGCCCCTGAACACAATTCTCAGGAAGATGAGGTGCTCGCACCCTCACCTAGCCCTGGAGAAGCTTTCTAAGCAGGACACCCCCTCCCTAGAGATACAAGTGCTACCACACAGAGACTGAAGAGGCTCCTGAACCCCACTGGAAGAACCCAGGGTACACAACCTTCAGACCTCAGGGGAGACCAGTGCCCAAAGACCCCTGTAGGCCTCTGCTCCCCCTCAGAAAACACCTCTGGCTCTCACGCAGCCAACAAGGGGGTGCATTTTCCCGTGCACAACAACCTGGGGGATCTCCCCAAGCACAAGCACTAAACCCACCCCTTCACAAACAGGAAACAGAGGCACAGAAATGCCAGAGAAGCCTGGAGGTGGGCTGGGCCTGTACCCAGGCAGCCTGATACGGCAGCACTCGACCTGTATGTAACACAGAGGCCCACCTCGGTGGGCGATCTCCGCCTTCAGCAGCCCCTCCATGGCGTCCGACTCGGCCAGGTCCAGGGGCAGGTCACCATCACTGTTGACGGCGGCAATGTTGGCCCCATGGCTCAGAAGGTACCTGGAGGCAAGGGCAGGTCAGGGCTGCCAGGTCTGGGCCCACCACCCAGTCCAGGTCCTGCCCACCCCCTGCCTCACCTGGCAATGTCCAGGTACCCACAGGAGGCAGCCACGTGCAGGGGTGTCCAGCCCTCATTGTCCGCCTGGTTCACAGTGGCACCCTGCTCCACTAGGAAGCGCACCACCTCCAGGTTCTCGTCGATGCAGGCCTGGGGTGGGGACAAACCCATCAGTTGGGCCTCACCTTGTCCTGCCACGGAGGCCCAGAAAGGACCACGAAGCAGACCCAGGGGTCCAGTGAAAGTGGCCCTGGAGAAAAGGGCCCTGATGGCCACTAGCACAGGTCCTGAGGCTCCACTGGTTACCCAGCCATTTAAGACATCCCTGGCTACCCCATGATTAGGCCAGCTGAGTGTCCAGAGTTCAGTGAGACAAGAGGACCTCAGCAGCCTGAACAGGACCCAGTTAGAGAAGGGACAGGATACCACAGCCTGTATGGAACGCCTCGATGGCACTGTGACAGAGTACAATCCACACTCACTACCTGCAAGACAGGGCTTCCCGTGTTCTAAGGGGTGAGGCCCAGCCAGGCTGGAGAACACTTGGCAGCAGACCCTCTAGGGACTGTCCTTGGGGGAGCCAGGACTCTGCAAGGCTGGTAAAGTCACCACATCCCCAAGACAACCAGGTTCGAGGGCAAGATTCCCACAAGGGGCATGTTCCCTGTGCCTAAGGCCCAAGCAGACGGCCCTCCGGCAGCCAGAGGCCTACTGTGCACTCGGCCATCCTTTCTGATCCCTGAGCAACTAAAAGCTCACGCCCCAAGTCAGCACAGCACAGAGGGCCAGAGAGAGTGGGGCTGGACTCCATGTGGATGTGGTGAGCACTGGGACTGAACTGGGTTCAAAGGAAAGGGGACAGGCATGAACTCTTTTGAGTCCTCAGAATAAATTAACCCTCCAACTCCCTCTACTCCCAAACTACCCATCTGGAGAAAGGGGAGGCAGCTATGAGGGCCAAGAGCATGAAGTCATGGAAACTCAGGCTGCAAGAGGGGGGCCACATGTGCCCTGGGAACGGGATGAACTCTGGGCTCCGTTTATTTCCACCCGGTTGTCATGGTGATGGGAGGGGGGGCAAGGAGGGAGATGGGTCTTTCCCTTTCAAGGACCTGGCCAGGCACAGGCATCCATGTGAAAGATGCCTGAGGCCTGGGCACCAAGGACCTAGAATCAGGCCCAGCCTCCCCCATCAGACCCAGGGTCCAGGCCCAGTTCCTCCTCCC